TATAATTTATTTCTATTTTATTTCTACACATAATTATTTATATAATGGATAGGTTCTATGCATAAAGTACATAATTTGTCATTTTCATAATTTATTATAAATATGCCATTTAATTCTATACTAATTTCGTTTGTATAATTCATTTCTTTTGAATTCTATATTTATTTACAGAATTTACAAGTTCTGTGTATAAATTATAAAATGGATAATTATGTAATTTCTATAATTATTATAAATATTCATATTTCATTTCTAAGTTATTTCTATTTATATAATTTATAAATTCTATGTATAAATAAATTATACATATTTTGTAATATGTATAATTTATTATTATGCAGATACTTCACTTCTATTCTGCTTTTATTTCTATTTTAGTTTTATAGATTTATATAATTTATACATCCTATGTGTAAATTATATAATTTGAAATTCCTATAATTTGTCACTGTAACTATATTTTTTCTACTATAGTTTTATTTCTATTATTTATTTCTACTTTAATTTTATATACTTATTGATGTAATTTGTCAGTTCCCCGTACAAATGATATAATCTACAATTCATAGACTGTGTTATTATGTAAATATTTGTTTTATTTCAGTCCTGTTTTTGTCTCTATAATTTATATTTTATTTATGTTTATTGATTTGTACAAGTCTCATATGCAAGTCACGTACTACGTTGTAACGTTTATTTATTGGTATGAGTATTTCCACCTTAGCTTGTATTCCTCCACCCGCTGAGCCATGACAGCAGAATTTAAGAGAACCCCGATCTGGGCCTCCTGCAGTGCGTTTGTCACGTTTGGGTGTGACTGTCACAGGGAAGCAGCTCGGATGCTTGGGCGGTCTTGGGGCTTCACGCGGCTCGCCCCGTGTGTGTGCGTGTGTGTGCGTGTGTGTGTGTCAGGATGACTGGCCTAAGCAGAAAAGATTGCTGGACTCAGAAGTGTGTCAGAAGGGAGTGTGCTGTCAGGGTGACTCATGCCACCATCAGGCAGGGCGGTGGTGTCGCCCTGCATGAGTCACGGCGTGTTCCCCAGAACATCTGCAGCTTTGAAGGGCCCGCTGGAAACCGCAGGCCGTGCACACTTCCCCTGACGGGCCGATGGCTCGCAAGCCTACCAGACGCTCACGCCTCGAACCTCCCTCGGCCCCGGCCGGCAGTCTCGGAGCAGTGGGTGTGGGGGGGTTTCTGCCCGTGACCCTCAGACAGTCACGCTGCTGGTTTGGCACGGGTCGACCAGTTGTAGTAGACGAGCCCGTCAGATCAATTGATTGCGATTCGATCATTAGGGTTGACATCCTGTCAAGCTCCAAGCTGTTGCATCGTTGGGTGTCCTGATGGTCCCCATGGGGCTTTTAGCCGGTGGCACAATGTGCGTGCCTGCCTTTCGCACACCTATGTGCACAGCTGGGGAAAACGGGCCTCCAGGTGTCTGCAGCGCAGGAAGATAGTCAACGCTTGTGTGGGACGGAGGTAAGGGTGCCCTTCCCTGCAGAAAGCTCAGAGCTGGCTGCCTCCCCTAATTTCTGTGGTGCTGTGTTTGGGAAGCACCCCAAGAGGCACTCCCCTGGCTTTTGCAATCACCGGAGGAGCAAATGGTGAGGGCTGGTGTGCAGGGGGCAAGGAGCGGTTAGGGGGAGCCCTGAGACAGGGACTCCAAGGGGAAACCACCCCAGCTAAGAGCTGGGCCTGTCTCGTGTGGTCTCCTGGTCCCACGGTCATCTTGACTGCGGCCAGTCCGGAGATGGAGCCGAGCTCTCCTGCAGGTGAAGGGAAACTCTCCCAGGGCCGGGCACAGTCTCCCTTTTGCTGTCCACTCTCAGACATGCCCTGGACCCCCTTTGGCCGGCCTCGGGGTCCGGGGAGCCCTGGGCTCCGGGGTTGGTTTGGGGACTGGATGGTGACGTTCGCCGTGGTCCTGAAACAGGGCATGACAGGAGACAGAGGCCGCCGGCCTGGGTGGAGGGTCTGGCCCCACCCCAAGAGGGGTCTTGTGGGGGGCAGGGCAGGGCATGGAGGTGAGGATGACCTCTCAGAAGGGTGGGTTCCCTGTCAATGTCTGTGCTGACCCCCAGGGCGCTGGCGGGCAGGAGAGGGGGCAGTGATGGGGAGAAAAGGGGGGTGAGCTGGGCTGGGGAGGTGCCGGGGTGCAGACACACACATACACGGGCCTGCGCGCTGATACACACGCACACGTGCACGCACTTACACACGTGAGTCCGCAGAGTGAGCGTGTTCCTGTTTTGCTTCCTTAGTGGTTCTGCCCAAGGCCGTCCTCTCTCCGAGGTGGAAATCACTGGGATTAGGAGAGTTCCATGTGGAAATCTGGAGTTTTTCCGGTTGAGTTTGTTGCCATTGGGTTTCAGACTTCCGAAGACCCCACTTCTGATGCTTCTTTGTAAGACCCTCTTCCTCGCCCCCCAATGCTACACTGCCTAGTCCTGGAATCCCCTTGCATTGGCGACGTGCCATGCCTTGCAGGGCGAACCCCTCAGGTTCAGACATCATGCCAGGAGCAGGGGAAGGTGAACACCTGAGAAAGCTCAGAGCCAAGCATTTCAGGTGATGAGAGAATTGGAGGGGGCAGTTGAGGGTTTCTACCCAAACGTGTGTGGCGTGAGTGTGCGTGTACCCGTGTGTGCACATGCACGTGCCTGGTGGGGTCTTTGGGACCGATGAGGCCCTTACCTGCTACCTCCTGGGTACCTGCCAGGTATTGCAGGGAAGAGGTGAATTGGTTTTGCCCCACACAGTGCGGGTGGTGAAACGTCATTTCCGGTCTGGGAGATTGTGCTCACAGGCCCAGCAGGTGCTGGGGCAGGTCCCATGCGCGCTGTTCCCGAGAGCTGCTTCTGCAGCCTGGGGTGTTTAATATGTGCACGGAAACACACAGACAAACACAGCCGTGCACACACACAGAGAGAGCCATGCACACACATGCACAAACTCACACCCCCAAACTGCACAGACGCACCTACGCAGACACACACGCACAAGCCACACACAGCCACACGCATGCACATCAACCTCATACACCCACACGTAGTCGTATGCACACATGCAAACCATGTCTATACAGCTACAGAAACACACACG